ACGGTCTTCGTAGTAAAGGAAAGTAATACTACTTACTTACTTTATTAGTTTATTGTTATCTACTAAGTTACGTTAACGTTACGTTAGTTATATGTATCTCTTCTCTCTCTCTCTCTCTCTCTCTCTCTCTCTCTCTCTCTCTCGTTGCCTGTTTTTGAATGGGACAGTGGAGCACATTGTGTTTATGGTATCCCCTATGGCTGAGGAGGAGGGCGATCCACTGGTGATTTGCAAGATGAACGGTGGAGATTGACCATTGTTTGGTACTCGGGTACCTATGCTGCTCATCTCCTCCGTTCGATAAGAATGGCAGGTGATTGCTATATACTGTTGAAAAACTTTCCCTTCTGGATTTCGAAGGCTATATATTATATTATAGAGTAGGATTACATCGTAGTCCACATAGAGTGGGCCATCTAGATGGGTGAAGATCGACCCTTTTTCAAGGTCGACTTTCGAAAAGAAAACAAAAATTGATTTCCACTAGCCGGATCATTGTTCGCTTTATGTGCAAATTATTGCTCAACCCTGTATGATTTTGTCCAAAGGTATAGAAAAATGGTGATTCAGATTGGAATCGTCCGTTCTGGATTTCTAATATATAGGGAGCTGGTTGGTGCCCACTATGAACAACTTGGTTCTGGTTGGTTCTTTGACAGGAAAACCTGGCCTTAGATTTTATTTTTTAATATTTTTTATTCTTATTTTCTTTTATGTAGAAAATAATACAAAAAAACTATTTATTGTTTTATAAGAAAGTCACAATTACTCTTGTTTTTTAGATTTCAAATTGGGTGGTTGTAAGAGTATCATTGAAAAGACCCAAAGTTGAAAAACATTTCTTGGACTTCATGACTAGCCCAAGCCAATCAATTTGACATCTAATAAGCAAGAGTGATTGTAACATCCTTATAATAAAGATAAATGGTCTCATTGTATATAATCTCTTTTTTCATTGACTGCTTCTTTTGTTTTTTATTGGCCGCTTCACTCAGTTAGATTATTGATCCTAAGTTTCTTTTAATTAAACAATCTAAGTAGGGCGTACTTTCAAATATTGCTAAAATATTTTGTTTCAGTATCATAAATCTTTATGATGGTCTAAAAATTTATTTTCATATCTAATTATAAAATTTAAAGCTAAAAAATAGTGTAGATCGAACATATACACTTCAAAATCTTGAAAATTGATAGTCTAAATAACGTATTACAAGATGCACTATTTCCAAAACTTGAAATCTATTTTTTCTCATATCTATACATTTTGAAGTCAAAATGATCAAATTGAGGATTTTGAACATCGAAACAACCTTTTCTAATGAATTTGTGAGGTGCTTCTTAATTTAATTTAGGTCCTCATCCTTGTATAAACCTTTTCCTTTAATTAATATCTTAACTTTAATTTTTGTAGGACATACAGTTTTGCTACAGTATGCTAGTATTGTCATTCACCATTAATGAAAGGATGTGGATGTAATCCACACAACTTTTAAGGTTCAGTATTATATAATTTTTTTTTGGGATTGTATACAATGAAACCATTTACCTTTGACATATGAGAGGTCACATTTACTTACAACCATCCGACGTAAGATATGATAGCTTGAGTGTATCGTAAAGTTGGAAAAATATTTTTTTGATGTTTGAACTTAGTCAATAAAATAAATAAAACTATCAAATTTTACATCCAATGGTCAAGATTAATTGTGACCACTTTGTACCAAAAATAAATAACCTCATTAAATAGTTTTTCCTTTTTTTCAAAAAAAAAAAAAGGGTTATTGCCACCACTATAATGAGTGATACAACAAAACATGCAAAAGCGTAGGTTGTGGAAGGGCTGTGATGCTAGATAACATCCGTGTCGGGTTTCATAGGACCCCAGCTCAAATATAGCAGGCCCTCAATCTCGCCAGTGTAATGAGATTTGACGTCAAAAACTATGTGAGGCCCATGTCTCCAAACTCTCCACCACAGTGATCAATGGATTTGAAAAAAATATAGATTTGAAGGCTTGAAAGGGTTCATCTTGCAACAATTTTTAGGGGGTGTATGGTTTTTGAAACCCTATCTTATAAGGAAGTTCTCAACAATTTAAGTCTATCTAGATCTACCAGATTTGCGCTATTTTCAAAGTTCCAAATACCACGGTAGGTAAAAAATTGGATTGTAGGCCATCACAATATTTTCTAATTATATTTTGAGGTCTGGTTATACAAATAACTAGTTTTAATAGCTTATTAAACAATGTAAAAGTCGTTCATGAGTCAGCTGGTGTCGCACCCATTGACTCAACAATGTTCATCTTGTAAAAATCTCACAGGGCTAATACAGTGTAGAGTTGTTATTTTTTTTATTAAATACTGGTTGTTTACATCGGATGGTTGAGGGACCTATTTATAACTTGCATAATATATACATTTACTTAATTGGAAGTAGTTAGGCATGCAAATTTTTTCATCCTTGTTGCCATCTTCATAAAATCTGATGAGCAAGGTGCCTCACTTCACTGGAATAGTTGGTATCATTCCAATGGCTTCAATTAATATATTTCAAAGAGTGATTTTACAGATCCTAAATTTTTTTCTAAAATACGAAATGCTCATTTATTGATAGAAATTACAAAGAAGGTCGGTCAACTTTTTCTTTTCATTAGTAAGGCACTACCCTAAAGCTTGGGGCATGACCCTACTAACGAAAAAACTAAAAAACCAAAAACTAAAATTGGGACCGAGGATTCTATCCTCAAACCAAGAGGTAATTTTGAAAAAAATAAAAAAAAAAGAGTTGACCTACCTTCTTTATAATTTCTGTCTATAAATAGAGCATTTTGTATTTAAAAAAAAAAAATTAGGATTCGTATGTAAATCGCTCTGTTTCAAAATATTAATGTCCCTATCATGAGAATATAATGATGGTACAATTTCTCATAAATCCTATAAAACTCAAATCTTACAATTATTGCCATAATATACACTCAAATCATACAACCTTCAATTAATATGTATATATAATTTCTCATAAATCTTAGCTCATATCCACCCATGCCCACGGCATCTAAAGACCAAAATGTTAGGCCGAACATTCTTCGCCTCACAGTTGATAGTGTTATCTTTCTTGATTCATGCCTCACAAGATACCTCCAAGCACAAGGTTAGAAGCTTCTTTTATGATAGGGTGCATTTAATTGGAAACATAGATATTTCAGGTTTTTTTATTAGTTTACATGCATAACCCTAAATTCAAGTTTATTGCAAACTGAGAATATGAAAATTACGCTTTTCAAATAGTTTAAACAAAAAACCCCAACTCAAAATTTAGGTTTTTTTTTATTATTGTAAATTGAAGTTTCCTATGATTCCCATATTTCAGGGATAGGGGATCTGATATATAACAAACCAATGAAAATGATCTATTGAATTGACTAAGAATAGGAAGGAAGCCAAGCTTTTATAGCTCACTGGTTCATTTGTATTTAAATAGTATTTGTATTTTAAATTGTGATTAATTAAATATCATAAGTATTTATTTGCACTTTAGGAGTGTTTGACAATTCTTATTTCAATTTTAGTTTGCTTCAAAGGAATTTTTTTTCTTAAAGTATGATATATTAAATTTGATGAATTATCATTTGCAGTCTAGGGTGTGTTTGAATGTTCTGATTTGGACTAAAATTTCCTATTATGTTGAGTAATGTTGGTGGTGGTGCTCATGGCGATATAATGGTGTTGATGAGGGCACAATATGGTAGGGTATTGGGGGTGGTTGTGCTTTGGTGGCTTTGGGTGTGATAATGGTATTGGTAGAGAGAGAGAGAGAGAGAGAGAGAGAGAGAGAGAGAGAGAGAGAGAGAGAG